ACTTCCTTGTAGAATGGTGAGATCCTGATAGTGAATTCATAATACAGCTCATGGAGGATCCTGATGTATTGAGTTTGAATGCCCTGTTTGACTAGGGCTTCGATGACTGCTTCAGCCTCAACAGAATCAAAGGCCTTCTTTAAATCAGAGAACATTAGACAGAGTGGCATCTTGAACTCCCGAGAAACCTAAATGAGCTTGGTTACCGCATGAATATGGTCGATTGTGCTGAATCCTTTTTGGAACACAGCTTGCTTGCATGGTTGTCCTTCATCTAGTGTTCTGCCAATCCTATACAGGATGACTCAAGTGAACAGCTTGTAGATGACAGACAACAAGCAGATAGGGTGATAGTTGCCAATGTCATGGATGTCTCCCTTCTTGTACATTAGTACAGTCTTGCTAGTTTTACATTTTGATGGAACCTTGCACCAGACATGTAGCATGTGAAGAGACAAGCCAGTGTATTGATGAGTACTGATGGCAGGTTCTTCGGGTGTTTGGGCCTGACCTTCTCTGGGATGAATAGACAGAAATATTAGTAGATAAATATACATATATTGTGGTTAGATACTCGTGCTTCAATTCATGCAAATCTCTATACTTTAGAAGTTATACAGCTACAATTTTTTTTTAAAAAAAGTCCATGGAGATAGTTCACAGGGCTGGAGCATATACCTGGCATGCGAGGCCTCTAGGCTGATCCCAAGGAATGCATGCTCCCATTCCCACCATTGTGGGTGTATTCCTAGAGGTCCCAACACCTCTGGGCCCCATCAGTACCTTATAGCAAACCCAAGTATTATACCACGTGACCTGTACAGTTTGGTCAAGTGTCACTGGAAATGGCCCTAGGGCATGGTCATCTGAGCACTACTTGGGACTCCCTCCAAACACCTTATTCAAAAGAATCCCTACATTTTTCAAAGATGAAGAAAGCTAAAAACCAGATGAGCTCACTCATCTGTGGATCACTGTCACTGTCACTGTACTCCCATTGTTCATCGATTTGCATGAGCGGACCCAAGCATCATTGTGAGACTTGTTACTGTGTTTGGCATATCGAATATGTCATGGGTAGCTTGCCAGGCTTTGCTGTGCGGGCGAGATACTCTCGGTAGCTTGCTGGGCTCTTAGAAGTGCGGAAGAATCAAACTCGGGTCGGCCATGTTGGCTGCATGCAAGGCAAACGCCCTACCCACTGTGCTATTGCTCCAGGTTATCTGTAGATCACACAGTGACAAAATGAGGAAATAATCATTATGGACCAATGCAAAACCTTGGACCTGGATTACAAAACTGAGATTACCTAGCAGTCAGGGGAGTAGAGTTGGTAGAGTGAAGAAAGAGCATGAGGATATTAGTGGAGGGTACTGACCACTTTGCTTGAGTGTGATGTGGTAACTGTGTATATCAAACCAGTAAACATTAGTGCTATTGTAAGCATGTGACCTAAACTATAATAATAGCACATTTTTAAAAGTAAACTAAAGGCACAACTTGATCACCCTTGACCCCATAATATAGGAAGGAGAAGGATAGAGAGGGGAATAAATCGAGGGGCATAGCAAGAAGTAAACAGGGAGTAATGAGGACCAGGGTCAAGAGACTTGGGTACATTCGTGGTGTAGAGAAGTGGTGTTGCTTTTTATCCAAGCTTCAGATACAACAACAATGAAAACAGCAGATTCAAACAGCAACTAACCAAACTTAAAAATATACCTGTCAGTGAGGCAGGCTGGTGTTGGTGGAGAGGTGTTGGGAGGGAACCTGGGGACATTGGTGGAGGGAAGTTTATAATGATTGAAGGATTGTACTGGGACATTGTATGCCTATGACTCAACTATACATCACTTTGTAAATCATGGTTTCTTAATAAAAATTTTAAATTTAATGAAAAATTTTAAAAATTATGTTAATTCAAAAAAATCAGTTGAGGGCACTTGATCCTGGGGAGATTGATGAACAATGTAAGACCCTTTGATGAAAGAGATTGGTCTATGACTTCCAAATTTAATAATATTTTAAATTTTTACTATATGACCTTTTCAGAATATATGCTATGAACCCCTAGCAGTAGGACTATTTGGTAATTTGCAACCTTTCTTGTGTAACTTGTAAGAGGACCTTACCAGAATTTCTACAGAACTATGAAATTAAACAGAGTTTGTAGCAATCTTTCCTCACTTTCTAAACCACTTACCACTTTCTTCAGTAATAGGGAAATATCTGAGGACACTTTTCTATCACATAGACAATAAATTAAAAGAAATGGAAGGAATCACTATTTTTTTTTTAAATAAGAGAAACTAAGGGGATCATAAAAGAGAAGTTTCAGAAGTTTGAATGTACATTGACACAGTGAAGTGTTCACATTTGGAAAAAGCAGTCAGGTCTCCACGTGTCCATTTCAGATTTGTCTTTAATACAATGATTTCTGCTCCACCACTGTGCTGAATGTGTAATTGCTTAGGTTACCTCTGGCCTTCCAGCAGCCCAGTCTTACATTTATTTAATTTTTTACATTTATTTAATCCTAATCTTAATCTCCTGTGACATTCAATGGTGCTAGACAATCATGTCAACTAAAACCACTTAGTTTTCTTCTGAAATTTGCTCATTGTCTTTATTATTTTTCTGAGTTTTATTCAACAGTTCTCATCATAGAATTCAGTAATCAAAATTATTGAACTTTTATCTTAAAATTTGGAGCTTTAATTTGGGGCCCCCCAATTTCAACCAATGCCTACTAAAGTACTTCTGTTCTCATAACATGGGAAGTTCACCTTGGCTAGTTACTTATTTTGTTGATCTTCTCTTTAATTTTGGTTTTTGGGCCACACTTGGTGATGCTCAAGGATTACTCCTGGCTCTGCACTCAGGTATCACTCCTGGAAATGCTCAGGGGACCATACGGGATGCTGGGGATCAAACCAGGGTTGGCTACATGCAAGGCAAGTGCCTTATGACTGTACTAACTCTCCAGCCCAACTTCTCTTTAGATTCTTTTATTTGTTTTGTTTTGGGGACTCACCTGGAAATGTTGAGGGCTTACTTCTGGCTCTATGCTTAGGAATCACTCCTAGTGGGGCTCAGGGAACCATATGGGGTGCTGGGGATTAAACAAGGGTTGGCTAATACAAGGGAAGCTTCCTTCTGTATTCTCTTTTTGATGTTAGAGATACTTTTTAGTCTATTGTTTGTATTTTCTTTCCCATATAATGATATCTTTGTACACCTAAACTGTGGTCATTGAAATCCTGCTCCTTTTATACAGTCTGAGTTTATGACAAATTCCTGTAGATTAGAGCTGCTTACAAAATTGTTCCCTTCTTGCTATCCTCATTGCCTTGGTTTATGCTGTTTCCCTTTAGCTTATACTTACAGCTTCTACATTATGGCAGCCTAGTCTTAGGACAACCCCACTTTTAATTCTTTCTCTCACAGCAACCAGAAATAATTCTCAGGAATATTATCATATTATCTTGCTCTGAAACTCTTAAGTCTTTCTTTATGGTTTTCTGTAACTGAATTTAATCCTCATCATTTCCATATTTTTTCCTAGCTATTACATCTGAGCCAGGATATTCTAGTCTAATTTGTACATCTGAACAATTACACATGTAGGCTTATACATGCTGTTTTGGTGTTTCAAATACAAAACACATGAGAATGTTGGTTGCTATTACTATTTATATTTTAAGTCTTGCTTGCTATGCCCCAGATGATTGCATGAGAGGTGATCTTAAGTAAAGGAAAAGGACAGAATGACTTTTAAGCTAACAAGGCTGAACTTTATGTTGATTGAATATTTGGAAATAATGAGTCAATTAGAAGAAAGACAGGTCAACAGTGAAAATTCAGGAAAGGTCGGTCTAGAAATTGTTCTTGTGTACTGCCTAGTCAGGAAAAAGGTTCCCAAACATTACTATTCTTGCTTCTTACTCTGAAGAAGACAGTATCATATTAGGAGAGGCTGGTGCCTTCACTCACTGGACTCTTAGTAGTAATTTTCATACTCCTTAGTAAGCAATTATCTGAGAATCATTTGCTTTCATTGTATGGGTATATATAGAGAAACAAAGTAAGCATTATAGAAAATTGTAGCTAACATTATAGAGAAAAATGTTTGTTTTGGTGTCATTACATTTCACTCTCCAAAATGGAACAATCTACTGATGTACTGATGTAGAAGGAGGTCTGTTACTGAGCTGCAGACTAGGCAAGGAAAGAATCCTAAAGCCAGGCAATCAAGGGTTACCTCCCAAAGGGTTTCTTTATCATCTGATGACCTTCAGTTAACATGAGAATGAGTGTAGGTAAGAACCCAGGAGACAGATGAACTGAACTGGAGACTCATCCCTGCATGCTGAGGAGGACACTGAGAAGGTGACCAGTCTTGATTTGACTTTGTTGAAGTGTAAGTGACATAGCCTGTATTTACTTTACTGCTGAAAGACTCCCTGATGAGATGTTGGGGGATGGTTATTTTGGACCTTTGTCAAATCCAGTCCAGTGCCTCACCCTCATGAGATGGTGTAACTAGAAAGCAACTGTTATTCACCTGGTCTTGCTGCCATTGGAGGAAGTGGACCCCTGCAGGTAGAGGACACCCAACCAGTTTGTACTCTCCTAGCAAACCCCTTCGTGTTCTAGACCCAGTCCTCTTGCACAAAGTCTTCCTTTTATCCTCCCTCTGTTTCCATCAGTCTTGATATTCACAGTAGTCATTTTAGCCTGTAAAATAGTGTTTGTAAAATAGATCTTATAGAGATTTTTATAGTTAAAGATATACATATGCTTATTATGTATGTATGCAAAAATGCATATCAAGTCCTTGGTTAGATCAGAAACTGTCTAAAATCCAGGGACCACATTGATTTCTCATTCCTCCTTACAGTTCACAGGAAAGTGCAGGTTATGAATGTAACCTAGTACTCAATGGTAGTCTGAATTAAAAGTACTTTTTGTCTACATGTTTTACTTGTTTTTGTGTCTAGGACTGTACAGAGATTATTAAAGGAGAGCATTTTGATGTTTTGGAAAGGAATCTTTTGGTGAGCAACGTCTCAACAGAGGACAGAGGGAGGTACATCTGTATAGCCACATTGATCCATGCAGAGAAGTCCTACACGGTTCAGACAAGCATTGCTGTGATTGTCAGTAAGTTTGCTCATCCCACATGGTTTCTAGTCTGGGACACTAGTTGGTCTTGATTTTTCCTAAAGATTAACAGACTCTCAAAATTGTCATGATCAGAACCAGTGGGAAGAAAGGGTGTAACAAAGAACATGAAGAGTTTAGTTGTCTCAAGAAAAACTAAGAACATTGTTAGAAACTCTTATTTGTGTACCTCTAATGAGATCTTGCACATAGAGTATGAGGATGTCTGGCCAAGTGCAGTTATTCCAGACATGGCAGACACTGTGACTCTGCTCTCATCCCCAGATATTATTGGGGTGACCACTTCAGAGAGCTTTGACTTGATCTTTGCTTTGTTTCAGCTTTGGCTTCCATGCCTTATCAGCTGTGGCCTGATGCAAGTCCAGAATAAACAAATGCTGTGGAACTTCAGTTTTTGAACTAGAGAGGTCAGATTTCTTGAACACATTACATGGAGATTTGAAAGCAAAATCTTAAAATTAGTTGACCTCAGGACAGAGAGAGACAGTAATGAGGTTAAGTTGCTTAGTCCCCTGAGCACCACCAGCAGTGACCCCTGAGCAAAGATTTCAAGGGTGAGCACTGAGCTCAGTTGGATCTGACACAAACCACTCCAATCTACCCAAAGATTCAGTATATCACATTAATTCTAAGCAAACTTCTAAGAGCAGTGACTTATTGGAGCTTACAAAATTAGCTAATTTCAGAAACAGGAACAAAATTCAGGACTAAAGGTTTTTTCATTCTTAATATATCTAGTGAGGAGTTCCTGTTATACTGCTTTGTTTTTTTTTCTGTTCTGTTTTCAACAGTTTTGTCACTTTTAAAAAGAATTTATATGCCCAGATAGAAAAACACCGAAGACCAAATATTACTTTGTCTTTGTCTTTGTCATGAATTTATATTAGAATTTATGATATTAGGCAATGCTAGAAATTTCTTTATGATTTGGTCCTCTGGGGGATGTTTTGTTTTGCTTTGTTTCTTCTGGCAAGTAATCAGGAGGCCTGGAGTCCCTCCCAGTTGATCTTGGCCAACCAGTTTGACTATTCAGATCAAAGTACTGAACAGGCTCTTCTAGTTGGGCACTATAATGCCAGAAATGGCAGCATCCAGTTCCGTACCCAGTGGTGATCAGTCAAACAGCTATTAGGAACCAGGCTGGTCACATATAAGGCAAGTGCTTGAACCTCTGTATTCTCTCTCAAGCCAGCACCCTTGAAGCATGTATTCAGTGTGGATTGAACTGAGAAAAATTATTTCATTAGAGTTTATGTGTGGCATGCATTAGATTTTGTGTTAGCTTATAAACACAAAGTAGTTAACTCTGAAAGTAGGCACATGCTATCTCATCTTCATGATGAGCATGGTGCTCGTGTGAGAACATGTACAGCTCTTTTTATTAGCTGCATAATTAAGTATTTTTATGCGGGAGTACAGTAGGGTAGCTAGTGGAAATTCTTAGAAAAGAGACATTTCAAAAATGGAAGAATGCCCCAAGAATACACAGGTACCAGCACTCTAGAATTTGTGTCATTTCAATCAACATTGTTTATAGTTGGTTAGGCAAAAAGTTGTATCAGAACATGATCAATGGAAACGGAAAATAATTTTCTATCTATTAGATGTTCCCTATCTGGTAGTAGTGGAACTATAAAGATAGCCAGAGAAGGGTAACTTGAACAAGATGTAGTAAGGAATAGAATTAAAGAGGGAAGAGGGAAAGAATCACAGGTGGTTGTAGTGCAGCAAGTGAACAGTCTTGGGAGAGGAAACAGTTTCACATCTGAATTGTGAAGTGTGAGTTAGACTTAGGTAAGGCAGAGGGAGATGAGCAGCAGTACAAGGTTGAAGGCAGCAGACATATCTACATCATGGGTTCTGTTGATGCTAAAACCCACCTTGTTGGAGGGTACTCAGGGTTGAGGTGCAGAGTTTTGGGAGCAAAGGCAAGCAAGCAGGCCCAGGGCACATGATTTGCAACTGCCATGGAGTGCTTGCAAGGGAGCCAGAGCAGAGGAGTGAGGCTGTCTCCGTGATGAGTGACACAAGCCTTAAGATGGTTCAGGCAAACCCTGGAGTTGTTGTTCTCAAGGACCAGAGGCCCGCTGGGAGACTCCCACAAGTGCTGATCCCCTGAACTTGGCGGGGTGCCTTGGCTTCATTCCTTAGGGACTTATTGAATGTGTACAAACAGGCATGGATCCTGTGCCAGGAAAATGGTTTGGTCACTGCTCTGACGGAATGCTGAGGTCTGAGCAGAGTGGGGAGGTTGAGATCCATGAGATGATATGAGAACTCCACATGTAATTAGCAAGGAGATTATGCAGAAAATGAAATGAAACTAGGAGATCTACAGACAAGGTTCTGCAGAGAAAGCTGCAGGTCAGGGGAGCTTCCTGACTCACAGTGGTGAATGCTGAGCAATGCCACATTTTTCAAAAGTGAAAGGGCAGCCCAAGTGAGGCTATGATCACAGACATACCAAGTTGTGTCAGTTTTTCTCCTAACTTAAATCTTAATTTTTTGTGTGTAGCCTCCTAAGCAGTGTCTAAGGGGCCTGCGGGTCCTCCTGTGATACTCAGTCACTTGGGCTGGGGGTTCAATGCTAGGACCCGAGGATGTGGTGCTCTCAGGCACTATGGGGCTGGGGTCACCAGGAATATCCAGCAATGTTCCAGACCTCCAAGGCTTCACCTACCAGTGCTCAGGAAGCTCTGAGCTTCTGGACTTGGGTCAGGCACACGGTTACATCTAACCCCTTACTGCCTCCCTGGACCCTATCAGAGTATATCTGAAGGACAGAATGAAGACAGGTTTTTTGGAATGATTCTGAATGGGGAATATCATGCTAGATAATAATATTGACAAAATAGTCAGGAGCCAATACCGGGTAGGAACATGCAATTCAAACCAAGGGGCATGGACTTTATTCTAAAAAATAATAAGCAAACAGTAGGGTTGAGATCAGGAGAGGGACATCATGGAATTTACATTTCTGGAAATTCATTGTGGCTTCTCCAAGGATAAGACTGGAGTAAAAAGGTAGGTGCAAAGGGGCTGAAGTAATAGCACAGCGGGTAGGGCGTTTGCCTTGCATGTGGCTGACCCGGATTCGATTCCCAGCATCCCATATGGTCCCCTGAACATTGCCAGGAGTAATTCCTCAGTGCAGAGCTAGGAGTAACCCCTGTGCATTGCCAGGTGTGACCCAAAAAGAAAAAAAGAAGAAAAAATGTAGGTTCAGGAATAGAGGTATCTCTCTAACTCCTGTGATAGAGAGATATGGATGGGTTCATGGAATTTTAGGAGATAAGCTCACGGATCTCATTGTTGGATTGAATACAAGATAAAAGATTTTTGAAGATCAAGAAAGCTATGCATTTCTGCATTTGTGACCGACTGAGTGGTGCCTTACAGAGAAATAAGTTGACTTTGTAGGTCCAGGGGAGAGCTTGTGACTTTAATCATGGTTGGGGGTAGAAGGTGTTTTTGAGATTCCTAAGTGGACTTGTCAGTTAGGACAAGACCTGTGTGTTCTAGAGTTTAGAGACAGTCTGAGGGTGCAACTTTCAGAGACATAGCCTTTAAGTGGCTAGAAGAGGTAGATATCAACAATACTATAGAGCAGAAAAAAGAGGTAGCAGAGTAAATAAAAAGTCCAGGGACTGAGACACCTGGGAGGTAAGCTTGGTTTGGCTTGTTAATTTATAAGCTGAAGAAATGATTAAGAAGTTGTTGCCTAGAATCATTCCCAGATTTTGCTGTGTGTAACCTAGGGAATGAATTAACTAGTTGGTGAAGATTTGTATTTGGTACATCCTGAATGAGATCAGCTTGCGTGGTGTGCAAATACTATTGCTTTCATAATAGCACTGTAGCACTGTCCTCCCATTGTTCATCGATTTGCTCAAGCGGGCCCAGTAACATCTCCATAGTGAGACTTGTTGTTACTGTGTTTGGCATATTGAATACGTCACGGGTAGCTTGCCAGGCTCTGCCATGTGGGTGAGATACTGTCGGTAGCTTGCTGGTCTGTTGTTTTTTTTATAACTTTCCACATTCCATCCCAGATATATAGGAGGAATTTGAGAGTTTTTCTAAATGTTTTTGGATGAAGAGAAAGACATGGAAAAAGATGAAGTCAGTATAAGGAAGATAATTATAAAATGTGTGAGAGAATTAAACTTTAATAACAATATAGAAGATCAAAGGCTAAAAATATGAAAGGCAGATTTGAAGGAAGAAGGGTAGAACTACAAATTACATGTCAGAGTCATCAACTAGACCATTGATTCTAGCTACTGCTTATGAAGTAAATTTGACTATTAAAATGATTCTGTGTATGTTTTTGGTTCAAAGTTTTTGGCTTTTTGAGTGAAACCCAGCGATATTCAGGGGTCACTCCCCTGACTCTGCACTCTACACTTAATGCTCAGGGGGACCATATGGGATGCTGGGGATCAAATCCGAGTCAGCTGTATGCAAGGCATATGCCCTACTGACTCCAGCTCCAGTTTATATTTATTTTAAAATGAAGTATACAAATGCATAACCAGTTCCCTTGCTTAAGAAATAACTTTATTCTCTAGCAACTTAATTGTTTCTGGTTCAAAAATATGTTTATAGAGTTACATTGTGTTGAGATTTTATTTTACTTTTTTGAGCAATGTTATTTAGATAATCAGCTCTGTGCTATTTTTTTTATGTTAGTAAAGTATTAACGTAGCCGGGAATGTATAATATGTGATTCTAATGCAGTTTCATGTTGTATTATTATTTTTAGCAGAAGAAGTTGTATATGGAGGAAAAATTCCAAATATAATTTATCCAAAGAACAATTCAATTGAAGTAAAACCTGGTGAGTAAATAAAATTACTAGGCCATAAATCTGAATATGTATGGTCACATATCCTAGTAAAGGATAAAGTCATGTTCCATAAGCATTCAGTTTCCAGCATATGATGTACCTTGAGTCATCAGGACAGGTAATAAATTAAAAAATGAGAAAGACTGATGCCTGAGGAGGTTGTGGCATTAAAACTCTTAGAGTGGACTTCCATGATGGCAACATAAACCGGTTTATATAAAGGTAATGGAAGTGTAAAAAACATTCCTGAAAGAGATGATACATTACACAAATCTCCTACTGATGTTCATCATGAATCATGTTATCTCACACGGGAAAACATACTAAAGCAGTAGGGCAATGTGTGCATTATGTGTAGGAAGAAATAAATATACATTTTCTCAGTTTGTGATCTGAGTGGAGAAAAAAGAGCTCAAAGTATTTTTTTCTAAGTTTAATCACTAGTAAATTAATAGGTAGGCAGGTCCTAGAGTGATATTATAGTGAGTAGGGTGATTGCTTTGCACGTTGCCAACCTGGGTTTAATTCCTGGCATGGCATGTGGTCCCCTGAGCCTGTCAGGAGTAATTTCAGAGCCAGGAGTAGCCTGAGCACCACTGGGTCTGCTCCCTTCCCCAAAGGTGATTGGCTTCTGAAGAAATAGTAAAGTTAAAAATGAAGCCCCCATGGAAAGACATGCTAAAGTTATATATCCTATTAGAACACTTATTATAGAATAGATTAGATATATTCTATATTGGACTTCTACTACATATTTTTGTTAAAAGACAAAGATATAAATATATATGATGAGGAAGACAAAAATATAAATGTGGGACCTGAACAATAGTACAATGTATAGGGTGTTTGCCTTGCATGTGGCCAACCCAGATTCAATCCTCATCATTCCATATAGTCCCCAGAGCACCACTAGGTGTAATTTCTTATTACAGAGCCAGGAGTAATCCCTGAGCATCACTGGGTGTGACCCAAAAAAGACAAAATAAATAAATAAAATTAAATATAAATGTATAGGCAAACATCTTGCATGTTAACACAAACAACAGATAGGCAATTACACAAACTTGTAATCTTGAATGTTAGCACAAGCATTACAGAGAGGCAACAGATAGGCAAAGACAGATAGGCAGCTTTCTGTGTCTGATAAGCTTTCTTTTGTTGCTTTTTTACTTAAGTAGGGATCATTCTTACCAGATCATGAACTGTCTCAGATCTGCTATGCTCAGATGGTCAGACTTCTTCATCAAGACTGTGAATGATTGGTTTGAGGCTCTTCATGTTCCTAGAACGAGCAGACAACAATGGGCTACACTAGCACATGACAGGGAAAAATGGAGATGTTACTGGTGGCTGCTTGAGTAAATCGATGAGTAACGGGATGTCAAGTGATCAATATAATCAAATTTTAACACAAAAACATGAACTCAAAGGAATGTTTATATAGGTACGATATGGAAGCAGGTAAAAGAAAAAATGAACTTTTTTGTGGTGCTGGATCTCCAGCTTTCTCAGTGAGCTTTCCCAGGGGCTTCTTCCTGTGATTCTTATCCAGCTGAGCCAGTGGTTGAATGCAAGTCTAGGATTTCCAGTTGTGCCCTGCTGGAACCATGCCTATACTGCACCTAGTGATGATAAGGGACCGCGTGCTTCTAGAGATGCAAGGGATGTTTGTGCCTTAGCTGCTGGATTAAGTAAGATAAAATATTGTAATTTGCTGTAATGTGGATAGTATTAGAGGGCATTATGTTAAGTGAAATAAGGCAGGGGAAGAAGGACAAATACCAGATGATTTCATTTACCTTTTGTACAGAGAGAAACATAACAAGGGAATAGACAATACTGTGGATGACAATCCTTTGATGCTTGAGCACAAAACTTGAAATTATCAAATAGCCAAGGTTGGCAGATGGAAAGATGGGTTAGAAGTGACATAAAAACAGTGGTAGAGAATTTTGGAGACTTTGTTGATGGTGAGGATAGAGTAATCTTGTGAAACAAAACCAATAAAAGTTACCACTTCTATAACCATGTTAGCTCACATAAAGTAAAAATAAAGTAAAAAATTTGAATATCTGGTCAGGATTATATTCATCCTCATATATGTAAGGACCTGAGTTCAGTCTCTGGCAACACACGCACACACACACACAGGATTTTGGTTATTAAGATAGAAAGACCTGGAACAAAATATGTGCAATAAGTGAACATAGGTTTCACAACCAGAATCTGTAAAGAACTAACCTTTCCAGATTTACAAGAATGAGACAATGCAGTAGAAGAATAAAGGGATGATTGGACAGACATTTTACAGCAATCAATATTGACAAGGCCAACCAAAGTTTGCAAAGATGCTTAACCAGGGCTAATCTAAGGAAATGCCAGTTTAATCCATATGTCATACACATGGAGATGGACAACTGGTAAGGCACTGGATGTAGTGTAAATGTTGAGAATGCAGTGTAACAGTGCTTCTCGTATACTGTTAGTGGAAATATATATTGGTGAAGCCACTTTAGAAAAAAATGGGTCTGGCATCACTTTTAAAATTGAAAATATGCATGATCTGTAATATACCAATTTTGGCACATAGATCCATTATATGCAGAGTATGGGTTTATGAAATCTGCAAAAGTGTATCCCAGGAGAGCTAGTAAGGGAGCCTTAGGCATACCCATAACTGCTGGAAACCATTTCTATAGGAGCATGAAGCAACCATAGAAGAAATCAATAAGAAGGGGGTTTTATTGATTTATGTCATCTGGATGTGGTGTGTCTTCAGATAGCAACACAGAAGAGTTCCAAAAGTGGAAGATAGAGTTGTGTGGGTGTACATATAATTAATGAAATATGAGGTGGAGAGGGAAGGTACACAGGGAAGTTTCTGAAAATATGCCGTTTTTTCAGAACTTTGAAAACACACAGTTTTCTTGATGGACTGCAGGTGGCATGGAATTTTCTTTAATTCCAGAGCTTCACATCTATATTTTATACTTTTGGCTATGTATGTATTATGTTTCATAAAATTAAAACAAGACCTCATAACTATGTGTATAGAAGTAGATTTTAGAAATATAATTTTATGTAATAAATATACAAATTTTTATTAGATTTGGGTAGAATAAAGTGAAAATATACATTTATTAAATAGAATTTGTGCCTCTGAATACTGGACAGGAAAAATGGAAAGGGAAGGGACAACTGGTGATACCTAAGACAGTGGACTTGGATTTGTTGCACCAATGTTTATATCTAATTTATTCCTCTAATAAATATATGACACTGTGAAAGGTATCATGTTAAGTGAAATGAGTCAGAAAGAGAGGGACATAGAAAGATTGCACTCATTTGTGGAATACCACGAATAGTAGAGGTAGGTACTAGGAGGATTGCCCCATGGCTTGGAATCTGGCTACACATGCTGGGGGAAAAGGCAGCTCAGATAGAGAAGGGACCACCAAGTAAAGGGTGCTAGGAAGGCCCACTCGGGATGGGAGATGTGTGCTGAAAGTAGATTATAGACCGAACATGATGGCCACTTAATACCTCTACTGCAAACCACAACACCCACAAGTAGAGAGAGAGAGACCAAAAGGGAATGCTCTGCCACAGAGGCGGGGTGGATTGGGGGGATAAGGTGGGGGTGGTGGGAGGGATACTGGGATCATTGGTGGTGGAGAATGGGTACTGGTGGAGGGATGGGTACTCGATCTTTGTATGACTGAAACACAAGCAAGAAAGTTTGTAACTGTATCTCATGGTGATTCGCTAATAAAAAATTATTAAAAAATATATGACACTGGACACATTGCTCAATCTGTCTGAAACTTAATGTGTCTTCTGTAAAGTGGAGTTCTTTTTTGAACTCCAGGGCATAATTTTTATACCGTAAACATAGCTCTTCATTTTTGCTGCCTTGAGGGTTGTTTGAAAAACTAGAAGGACTGAAGGAAAGAATGAGTATAGGTTTGTAATTCTGGGGTTTGTCTTATATAGGCTCCACTCTCGTTGTTGACTGCAATATAACAGATGTGAAGGGAAATACAAACCCAAGAAGCTGGAAGGTGAATGACACTCTGGTGAATGACTACTACAGGGACTCCACACGTATCAGAGAAGGGATTGAGTAGGTGCACCATGGTTTTTGTTTGTTTAAGTGTGTGTGTGTTGGGAGGGGGGGGGGTTGATTCTCAGAAAGCCAATCTATTGAGAATTTTTCCTCTGGGTTATTTTGCTGTTTGTGTTACTTTTATTAGATGATTTCATTGCCTGTTCATGATTTCTTTTGGTGCTGCCTTTCACAGATCTTATTGTTCTGCCTAACCAAGCATTAAAAAAGGGTGAGAGACTTGTGCCATCAGGCTTGCTTATGTCTTGTGAGAAAGATGAGAAAAATAGGAAGCAATTTCTCTCAGCTACTATTTAAGATAGGTCTCATAACTCTTCAGTTAGAACATAATCCATAGGCCTTCAAGGTTGAAATAACGAAACAAGAAGCAACTCAGCGGGACTGGAGCAAATAGCACAGCGGGTAGGGCATTTTCCTTGCATGGGGACAACTGGGGTTTGATTCCCAGCATCCCATATGGTCCCCTGAGCACTGCCAGGAGTAATTCCTGAGTGCAGAGACAGGAGTATGACTGGGAAAAAAACGAAGCAAGTTAACACTGTGAGGGAGACACAGAATACTAACTGAGCCCTGTAAGCTCATTTTGTGGTGGTATAACAAGGGTCAAACAAGACTAATGGAGTCAGCGGGCAGCGGAACTTGAACTGGGCTTTGCAGGACAGACCAGATGGTATGAGAGAAAAGAAATAGAGACAATATCTTCAGGGCTGTCAGTGTATCTGTGTCCATCCACAAACCTCCTGGAAGTTCTCAGTGAAGTATTCTGAGTAAAACAATGATCCAAAGTGTTTCCAGAAAAACCTTCACTCTCACATTCAGGGCTATAAATTATAGATGCATGATTGCTTTTGGTACTGTCTTTCATAGATCTTAGTATTTTGCCTCACCAAGCATCAAAGAGGGATCAGAAGCTTGTGCTATCAGGCTTGCTTGTGCCTTCAACAATACAATGCATGTACGAATGCCTGGTTCTTTTCTCTTCTAGAGTCCCCGTTTATTTGACGAAGCATAATTTTTATACCGTAAACATAACCTTTTTAGAAGTGAAGACCGAGGATTACGGCCATCCTTTCACCTGCCATGCTGGAGTATCTGCAGCGTATTTTATATTGAAACTCCCAGGTACTGTTTCTGTGTGTCGACTGGATTGGGATGGCTGTTGGCAAGGGCAGGTGAAGGAAGGAACGAGGGCCAGGCTGGTTGGTCTCATTTGCAGTTTATTCCAATCTCCTCTCCATTCTCCTCTGATTCTCCTCCTGTTTCTTCATCCCCCATGCTACTTCATTCTCCTCCTCAATCCCCCTTCATTCTCCTCGCTCTGGAACTAGATCTTGATCCCTCAGCCCACTCTTACAGTCTAGTTAAATCCCATAACCATGAGGGGCTGGGCTTACACACAGGTGTGGTCACAATCAATAGGGTTAAAGTTCTTCCCCTCAGGGGAGGCTGCTTCTAGGACAGATTCTCTTTCAGCAGGACGACCCATCCAAGAGCTAATCCCATTGGCGTGTTTCTCCTCTCCTTGTCCAACAAACATATAAGCATTCATAATATTAATTATTTTGTGTGGACACAGTAAGACATACATTGAGGCTTGTAGGGTAGCGCTCCTGGGAATATCTTTCCACAGACTCAGACTACAGAGTTCAGGCCAGATTAATCTTTCCTAACCCTAGCAGGGTCCAAATCAAGTTATTACTTTTTGGATCATAACAGCATTTGTCCATGATCAAGCTCTTAACTTATAGTTAAGAATTGTGGCATTTTGGCCAGGCCCATCTCGTTGCCAGGGTAGCACATAGCTTATTGCTTGCCCTGGTTCCATCCAGTCCCTCATTAGGACCCTGCTTTGGGGGGCGCTAAGAAGTAAGGGCAGCTGAAGCTTAGGTCAAAAGAACAGATGCCCAGGAGGAAAATAACACTGAGAGTCACATTACAAAAGCATAGCATATACTGTCTTCTTGTGTCCATACAAAAAGGACATTGCTCTAAATAAACTATGCAAAGGACTTAAGGAGAAGAAAAAGACAATATTTACAGGTCCACAGAGCTCAAAGAAGGAAGTTACAAATAAACACAGAGGAATGGGAGCACTGTGTTGGGAGCAACCCAATAAACCTAAACTACCTGAGGCTATGCAAGAAGGACAAAACAGTGTTATTCTACACTCAACTTTTATTATTTGATAGTTTTTAGCTTTTAGTTCCCTTTTATAAATAACTTGATATAAGAATAGGATTCTATATACATTTTTCCATTTAATTTTATGAATTTACCTTTAATGACTGAATTCTGTGATTAGAGCTGGGGTTCAAAACCAATGTGTGGTGTGGTGGTATCACACAAGATTTCCAACATCCACATGTGGCATTATGTAACATATTTAACACAGTACATAGTGCACTGATTTCTGATTGGACCCAGAGAGATGATTCAACAGACTCAGAGACAAGGTAGAATGAAGGATGAATTCATAACCTTGAGAGCAGGATAATTCTCTTTACACATCAGGGCAAGTGCCTAACTAAAGTAGTTAGCATGATATTTATCAAGACAGCATATTTTCTCTCGATTCCTTTAAGAAAAAATTTGCCAATACTGCTAAGGATTCAATGAACCCATGTTTATATGCATTTCTTCAAAGTCCTACCAGAACAACATAAAGTATTATTTCGGTGGCCACTATACGGAGCTAGCAAGTGGGACTTTGTCTCTGCCAAGTCCTGTCACTGTCACTGTCACTGTCCTCCCGTTGTTTATCGATTTGCTCGAGTGGGCCTAGTAACATCTCCATTGTGAGACTTGTTGTTAACTATGTTTGGCATATCGAATACATGATGGGTAGCTTGCCAGGCTTTTGCTGTGCGGGTGAGATACTCTCTGTAGCTTGCCCGACTCTCCAAGAGGGGTGGAGGAATCAAACCCTGGTCGGCCTTGTCTGCTGCGTGCAAGGCAAACACCCTACCCACTGTGCTATCACTCCAGCCCAGTCCTGTCAGCACTCTTCAAAAAACCATAAATGGAGATGTGTCTAAAACAGCTTGAATTCCTGAACTGTGCTTTTACTTCCCTGGTCTGAAGGCCAAGGTGGTCAGTGTGTAGATGCTTTAACTCTGAGTGAACACATGACACCATGTTCTCCCACTCTAGATCTATGGGGGACACTCTTGAGTTGCATCAAGTGGAAGGAATTCTGGGTTCATGAGCCTCTTGATCTGTTTTTCAGATCTTTTCTCAATGGCTTTGCCCTGTCATGGAAGTCTTTTTTTATATCACTTTCTCTCAATCAATTATTGTGCACAATATCTCTCTTTGTGACGTCAGAGTGATTATTGAGGATCCATCATTCTTACTACTCTTCCTGCATTCTTGTCCCTGATCATCTCCATTAGGGTGTCACTTCTCATCCCTGTGCAGGCCCAAGCACCTCTCAATCTCTAGTCATGGTTTTCCCCCCTGCAGGACAGCCCTGCATTTCCAACTCCCTGCTGGACTGACTTTAAACTTTATATAAAGAGAGTCAGAGATATGTGGTTTATTTCCTTAGTTTTATGTGGATCATTAATGTGTCAGTAATGTAGTTTCAGCTCATGCTTTTTCACTGCTGACTCCTATTTTCATTAAACAACTAGATCAAGGTTTATCATCCCACCCCCATAGCAAACCCTCACAAGTTACCCGTGACGTATTCGATATGCCAAAAACAGTAACAACAAGTCTCACAATTTGTTGTGAGAAGTTACTGGTGCCCGCTCGAGCAAACTGATGAACAATGGGAGGACAGTGATACAGTGCTACTATAAATATGTTGTTATTTGAGTTGTTTTAATTCGGTGCTATTAACAAATTAGATGACTGTGAAAATTCCTGTCAGCTACAGATTTAATTTGGTAGTCACTTTAGATTCATGATATATGATTAGAGGTAGAATTGCTAGAGGGAATACCTAAGGGTCCAGTTGAAAAAACAGGGGAGGGGCTAGAACAATAGTACAGTGGATAAGGCGTTTGCCTTGCATGAGGCTGACCTGGGTTCAATTTCCAGCATCCTATATGGTCCCCCGAGCACCGCCAGAAGTAATTCCTGAGTGCATGAACCAGGAGTAGTGACCCCTGTGCTTCCCTGGGTGTTACCCAAACAGAAAAAAAAAACAGGGGACTTTGGCTGTGAGATGCCTACTTTGGAGACTGCAGGCAACTTGAAAGTAAGAATAGCTGAAGTCAGACTCAATCTAGCTTTCAATCAGAAAGCTACAGATTTAAAGCTACAGATTTAAAGCTACAGACACAGATTTCTGTGCCATACTGACTTAAAAATATTGACCACTCTTTTGGAAGTACCATGTGACTACTTTTTGGAAGTACTATGTCCAGAAGTATTCTCAGGCAAAATCCAGGCTTGGTAATTAGTAACATCTGCCAATTGTGCAATAAGGAGGGAATTGTGGTTTGTCTCTTCTTTGTGATCCCTCATAAACCCGTAATTATTAAATTCATCTTTGTCCCTGCCAGCATTCATTTCATTATTTCACATGCAATATAATTTTGATCACTGCATCCTTTTATTTTCCTTAAGTTCTTAAGAATAGTAGTCTCTTAAACCAAAGGTTTTGTTGAGAGATCTCCATTGGACTTCTTCATTTTTATTTGTTTATTTTTTGGTTGAAGACTCCTGAAGAATTAGATCTTACTTTGTTTTTTGAAGCAAAATACCCAGGAAGTTGACTCTATGCCATTTGTGACTTTCTTCTAATCACTGTTGTTAGATACTATCTAAATTGAAAGTTGGAGGTAACCATATGGACCCAAATACAAATGCTTCCTTCAACTACACCTGCTGTCTCAGCATGAAATTTCTACTTATTTCAACATTACATTTATATTTTAATATCAATTCCGTGTATCTGATCGTATTTTAGCTAAGAGCAGATGGTATTGACTCTTCTGACTACAGTGAATGATAAACTCAGAAATTCCTGGGGCTAGAGTGATAGTACAGTGGGTAAGGTGCTTGCTTTGTATGTGCCTAATCCGAGTTTGATCCCTGGCATCCCACACGTTCCTCTAAGCATTGACAGTGATTACTAAGAACAGAGCCAGGAATGATTCCTGTGCAGAGACAGGAGTAATCCCTGAACACTTCTGGGTGTGTCTTCCCAAAAATAAACAAAAGAAATTCCACTCCATTGACCCTGCCTACTAATTAGGAGCCTTTTGAAGATGATAGGTCTGGTCTTGTCATTACTACTAACATTACCAAGATCCTGATATGTTTATATTTATAAAGGTAAAGGTAAAGGCCCTCCCGTTGATCGTCGATTTGCTCGAGCGGGCCCAGTAACGTCTCCATGGAGACTTTGTTGTTACTGTGTCTGGCATATCGAAAACTCTCGGTAGCTTGCCGGGCTCTCCGAGAGGGGCGGAGGAATCGAACTCGGGTCGGCCATGTTGGCCGCTTGTAAGGCGAACGCCCTACCCGCTGTTTATATTTATACATATATATATATACATACACACATATGTATGTACATATATGTGTGTATACCATATCCCCAGGCATTGTTGGTCCAAGATTTAGGAAATGCCAAGATAAGTAGAAGACAGGAGACAAGGAGAATCATTCACCAGAAGTTAGAGATTTTGGCTGCTTTGGAACTTAATGGATTGACAGATTTTTTTTTACCAGCACAAAAATTATCAGTAGTTTATTGTGCAACATATTTAAAGACATGCAGGATATTTTGACCTTAATGTTTGTAAAGGAGGCAGGAGTCATAGTACAGCACGTAAGATTGCTTGCCTTTTACACTGTCAACCCAGGCTTGAGCCCTAACATCACATATGGTCCCTGGTTCCCTGCCAGAAGTGGTTTCTGAATGTAGATTCAGGAGTCAGCTCTGAGCACAGCCAGGCGAAACCCTCTCCCCAGCACCCACAATGTTTGTAACAGGGTGAATGTTTATAATAGCATAGTGGGTAAGATGCTTACTTTGAATACAGTTGACCTGGATTCAATCCCTGATACCATATATGGTTTGAATGCCCCACCAGACGTGATCCCTGAACATAGAGCCAGGAATAAGCCCTGAGCACATCTGAGTGTGTCCTGAACACACATATACAAAAAAGTTTGTAATATGTTGTATCTCAGGGCAGGTTTTGATAGACCTTTTTTGGTGGTGGAGTGGGGGGAAATGGGGACGTGGTGGTCACATCTGGTAATGTTCAGGGGTTACTCCTGGTTCTGCACTCAGAAATCATTCCTGGCAGTCCTCAGGGGACCAGGTTTCTGGGGATCCAATCTGGTCAGCAGTATGCAAGAGCCTTACCCTTGGTCCTATCTCTGTGATAGACCCTTCATTCAGAGTTTCGAACACCAAAATACTCTAGGGAGTTTAAAGAGGAGAAAATTCCCCTTTCTTCCTCCCTTCCTCCATACCTCCTACCTGGAGTAGAGGATCAGGAAGAGAGCAATAAAGGAAGTGGTTGACATAGTGGGATCTAAAAATGGGGAGAATTTCTCTTCCTCTCTCCTTCTTCCCTTTTCTGGTGCTCTCCTTCCTAGAAGCTCCTTTTCTGGTAGCCCATGGTAAGCCTGTGGTAAGAGAAAAAGCTGTGCTCTTCCTCTTCTCAGATTTGTAGGAGCTTGTTTTCGGGTACTTGTATTTCTAGAGGAACTGGTTCTTCTTGGTCATTTTCCATGATGCATTCACTGTGAAGCTCGAGGAGAAACCACCTTTCCTGAGCCTGTCTCACAAACAGGTCCCTGGCCCAGGGTCTGCTGCACCAGGAGGAGGAGGTGGGCTTCGGGCTCTCACGGGTCTGAACGCCAGCAGTGAAGGCTTGCAAGCAAGGGGAATGAAACTTTTGACTTCTGATATCCAATTTTAAGTCAGCAAGATAGTGGTTTTAATCAGGCAATACTATAATCATGAACCAGAAGCACCCAGGAACTTCTCCACAAACATACTTCACCTCCATCACTGAGTATCTGGTATTGATCACAGAAGGTTTGGTCATGTGTGCTTTGAAAGAATTTCTCACACAATTGGATCATCACTCCACTTACCCTTGACATTTTGGGTTTCTCTGAGATCTCTTCCCAGCTTCCCAGGAAATCAATTGCTTCCTAAATGTTGTGGTCCAGACCAGATCATTCTTGCTCCCACACCATGATTTCACTGTATGAAACAGTGAAGCAGCAGTCTCAATGACATCAAATACATTTTCTGTTTGACATTTGTGATGCGATCTCTGTAAGTGAAGTAAATAATTGGCTGCTCTTTTTTTTTCCAACCAAACAGCAGTGTAATTTATTTTGTGTAAATATACAGGAGTATTAAAAGCCCAGAAAAAACACTTCTGAGTACGTCTGAGGGGGAAAACATCATGCCACCCCAAGGTATCCATCAAAAACACCATCATTGTTAATTGGCTCCTCTTTTATGTGAGGATCTGAAAGATCAAAGAAAAATAGCCATAAGTAGCCAATCTATTTATATGTGTATTTATCTGTTTATTTTTGCTGTCTTTTATAGTTCCAGATTTTCGAGCTTACTTGCTTGGTGGGCTTCTTGGCTTGATGTGTGTGGTAGTGTCTGTCACGTATATCTACAATGTTTTCAAAATTGATATTGTACTTTGGTATCGAAGTGCCTTCAGCTCTACTAGAGCCATGGAAGGTAAGTATGGTTATCCACTGAAAAATGTCATAATATAATTGACAGCCATCCATCCATCCATAGAACCACTGAAAATGCATTTTGTCATGATTTACTAGTTTTTCTTTCATCTTGTAGGCAAACATAGAGGAAGGAACCTCTCTGGAACATCATATTTCAGAGACATAATATGTCCATAGTCAGCAGCATGTATTTGGTCAAATGAGACTGCAGGCTAATAGTGAGTGAGTAAATATGTGTTAGATAGCAGGAGTCAGCATCTTCTGGGCACCCCTGTAGATGTTTTAGAAAGTTTCTTACAACCTTGGGTGCAGAAAAACATTTCCCCTGGAGCATAGTGCTCTCCGTCTATGACACCATTTCAAGGAAGTGGCTGTGGGAATAAAATTTATGTTAATGAAGGGAGGGTGGGATGAGCTGCTTGGGTCCTCCTTCCCAGCTGTGTGCTGGTGCTAGAAAAGACTTTCATCTCTGGATAGAGAAGACCCACCTGAGTTTGGATTTGGATCTCCCACTTAGTGTCTGTGTGATCTTAGAAAGGTACTTCATTCTCTTTTCTTTTTTTAGTGATAGAAAGGAAGAGAGGGAGAGAGAAAAGAGAGGGAGGGAGGAAGGAATGAGGGGAAGAAGAAAAATGGATGGAAGGAAAAGTGAAGGAAAGAAGAAAGGAAGGCAGGAAATAAGAGAAAGGAAGGCAGGGAGGTAGGAAGACAGGAACGCAGGATGGGAGGAAAGCAGGAAGGGAGGAAGGAAGGCAGGAAGGCAGGAAGGCAGGAAGGCAGGAAGGCAGGAAGGAAGGAAGGAAGGAAGGAAGGAAGGAAGGAAGGAAGGAAGGAAGGAAGGGAGGGAGAGAGGGAGGGAGGGAGGGAGGGAGGGAGGGAGGAAGGAAAAGAGGAAGGGAGACAGGAAGGGAGAGAGGAAGGGAGACAGGAAGGGAGAGAGGAAGGGAGAGGGAAGAAGGGAAGGAGGGAATGAAGAAAAGAGGGAGGAAAGAAGGGAGGAAGAAGTAAATGGAGGAAAACAAGAAGGGAAGGAGAGAAGGAAGGAATCATCCTGCATCAGAGCTGTTTCAGAGTATAGCTGCTTTAATACCCCCTAATTAGAGAGAAAATTAATATAAGACCAAAAGCAATCTGTGCAGTTCATTTCTATGAGATACACAGATTTGTACTTTTTAACCTCTTAGAAACTTGCAGATGACCAGACAGGAAAACCAGAAAGTGGCGTCCAAGTTCATTATCAGTCTCTGTTTCACAGTATAGTTTTCCCTACACTGTCTGTCCTGCATAGAGAAGCATGCCCTAAATTGCACCTTATTTTAACTTAAAATTTAGTATTCTTTAATGGGAGCCTGGGAGTCACATAGAAAATAACAAGCTTGTGATCTCTCTTTTTCATTAAACTTGGTTGTGGAAATCTGGTTTCTGTGGCCCATGTAACCTGAAACTGATGGTAACTTGGCTCAGCTTTGGGCTGTGTTTACTTCCTCTGACTCCAGAGACCACCCACCTATCGAGTCTGACAGAGGTATCCCTGGTTGACTGCTTTGACTCCAACTCTAGAAGTGGCTGTGACAACTGTTCCCAAAACTCCAGTTTGTGGCATGCCTCAGTGACTGACTCACAGACACTCCCTGCAACGTGTGTGCCAAGTGTGTGGAGACACTGTCTTTTGGTGAGGTCAAGTTTAGCAGGAAGAACAAGATGGATGGTGATTCACTCCTAGCAGAGGGGCTGAGCAGATGGCAAGGTACCTCTGCTCAGGCTGGGCCTCAGCCCTAGAGGGTTGAGGATTCAGAGCTGACAGTTTATGCTTCACTGTGATTATGTTTCAGATCCCAAAAGCACATGTGCTCTTTGTGATTCATTTCTCTGTGGTTCTGTCTATAAAAATTATCCTGTTGAAGGTTAGCACATGCATAGAATGATTTGAAGATATCTTCAAATCTTCTGAGTTATTGGGGGTAACCCAGGATGTGGTGAATGAAAAATACAATTGAAGGAGAAAAATGTGTCCTATTCATGATAATTTGCTTTACTCAATTAGATTAAGTTTTATAACATAGCCAGCAAGTGTGGAGGACTCACAGTTCTGTTAACAGTCATCCTCAAGCTTGTCTAAAGGCCAGATTTTCTCTATATTCTCTTAATTCATAGGAGATACTTGAAAAATTCTTTTGCCAGGTGTATGGAAATGTACAAAAATATAAAACAAGTTCACAAATCTAATAGGGAATTTTACAAATGCCTTACCTTATTCCAAATAGGTTTGTCTAGAATAACCGCATAGAAGATAACAATTAAAACTAATGCCAAGGCCAAGGGACATAGCTCAGTGGAGCACTCAGTATGCTGATCTGCTTCATGTGTGACTATTTGACTGGAACCTGTCTATGATCAGCTTTGTAACTCTGTATCACATAGGGATTTATGTGGCAGATTAGGTCCTGGATTTTATCCCCAATACCAAAATAAAAACAGAAGCATACAAAGAAAGTTAGTATAATAGTCACAGGAAAACAAAGGTTAGAAGAATCAAATAAAGCCTGGAGTTGAGTGAGGACAAATCTTGGATTGTTTTCAAAGGTGAACTTGCTTTAGCAAAAGCAATTAGCATTTAGCATTTCTTTGGTAATTGCCGCTCCCCCAAATTTTCCACTTGTTCAGGGAACACATGACTTTTTCTGGGACAAATTTCCAAGGAAATGTTTATTAGTAGAGAGTCCTCATTATTTTCCTTTGTTTGTTTCTTTTTGGGGAGTGGCATACCAGCAATGAACAAGGACCACTCCTAGATCTGCACTCAGGGATCACTCTTGGCATTGTTCAGGACCATATGGGGTGTTGGGAATTAAACCTGGGTTGGCCACATGCAAGGCAAATCCCCTCCTGGTGTACTATCTCTCCAGTCTTCGGAATCCTAGTTTTTATGCTGTTATGGAATTTCAACCCCATCCCTATAGTAAGTGAAGAAATATATTTTATATATATTTCAAAACATTTCTTCTACCATGCATTTGCTCTAAAATGCCAAATCTAATACAATTTACTAAAGGCACTTATACAAAGAACAATTGGACGTATCCACCTTCTCCATTGGTGCAGTTTGGTCAAGGTTTAAACCTTAGCGATATCTCATCTGGAGAAAGTAGGAAATTAAATAATCTTAAATCAGACCTTAATAAACATTAATGTATGAAAAGAAACTTTTGTTTTTTTGCCAACAGAATATAAGGGAATATGCCAGTGGTGCTAGAAACAGTGAAGCAGTCTTGAATCCCCTTAGAAAGAGTCAGGGTAAACTCTTATACCCTGAAAGCAAATAAATAGAGATAATTTGGGAACCCTAGATGGGGTGGGGCCATGAGCAAGGTAGGCTCCCTACACATTGTGTACTATTGCTCCAGCCCACGGACATATTTTTATCTCTAAGCCTATGGGCATGTTTCCCTGTTAGATCTGCATCTTGTTCATCTCACTGCTGGTGTGTGCAGGCACTGTTCCTTGTTTTTAAACTCTTGCTCACCTTGGTGGGGAGCTACTTAGACTCCTCCAGCATTACACAACAGATTTCGACAGTCAGTTTGGATGTTCATCTCTGTTATATGAATGTCCAATGGCAATCACAAAATCCACTGCTGGCTCTGAGGTTGTAAAAGTTGCAGCCAATTTTGCCCAGTGCACTGAGGACCATTCTCCTCTGGTCATACTGATGGAAACAACAGAATAATTTCTTTTTTCCAGTAACCTCATAGGGACTGACAGTCATGCAAGGAGACTCAGGGTAAAAATGAGGGCGTGTGTGGCCTTGAGAAATGGTATCCTCTCTCTCATGTCAACTTGACCCTTGTTTTATTTGGACAAGGCCACTTCCCTTGCAGGTACAATCTATGAAAAGGAGATGCTTCTAAAATCTCTTCTTAGATTCAGATGAATGACAGTTGAAACTGACCAGTTACTAGAGGATCAATGTAGCCAAATCTGAAACTTAAAATTTGCAGGAACCCAGTTATGGGAAGGGGTACATTTTTGAAAGTTCTATTTTCAGAATTCAGAAAAGGTTCTGGCAATAATTATCAGGGAAAAACTTTCCTAGGCTTCCAAAGGAGGGGGAAAATAACTGCTTTTTACCCAAGTCCAGTTCATTTTAGTCACTCTAAAATGGGAGTGAAAACTGAGAAACACTTACAATCCACAGCCATAGGACCAGAGAATCAAACCTTTTCCCTCACCCTGATTACCAAAAGCTTATTTACAGCAATTCCTTTTTCTCAGTACATGACTCAAGTTCATGAAAAAATATGACATTCTAATAAAAATAATATACAGTTTGAAGGGACAGAGAAAACATCAGAACCAGGCATTGAAGGGATGTTGGCAAAAAATTAGACCAGGAATTCTAAGCAATTTATGAATAATGTGACAAAAATTCTAACACCGTAACTGCATGGGAAAATATGGGGAAAAACATGGGGAAAAATGTATGCAGAGAGAGGCAAACCCCAAGGGAAATAAGAAACAAAAGAAATGATATTTTCAAAAAAGTATTGCAAAAGAAAGGAAGTGACTCTCATTGACCTCTTAGGAATCTAGACACAGTTGAAGAAAAAGTGTCTGAGCTTGTAGATAGAGTACTAAAGAACTAGAGGACAACTATGAAAGGCAAAACATATATGCAATAAAATCCCTGAATTCCTGTAAGGGAATAAAAGATAGGAACTATAACCTCTCTCTCTGTAGTGCAAACCATAATGCTCAAAATGGGAAGGGGGGTGGAGAGAGAAAGGGGAGAGGAAAGAAAGAGAGAGTGAAATAGAGTGAGAGAGAAAGGAGGGATGAGGACATTGATGGTGGGAAATGTACACTGGTGGAGGGACAGGTGTTGAAACACTGTATGACTGGAACCTAACCTTGATCAGCTTTGTAATGCTGTATCTCACGGGGAATATATATATATTGAAAAGGAGATGCTTCTAAAATCTCTTCTTAGATTCAGATGAATGACAGTTGAAACTGACCAGTTACTAGAGGATCAATGTAGCCAAATCTGAAACTTAAAATTCGCAGGAACCCAGTTATGGGAAGGGGTACATTTTTGAAAGTTCTATTTTCAGAATTCAGAAAAGGTTCTGGCAATAATTATCAGATATATATATCTGATATATATATATCAGAACATTTGGATCTTAGCAATTTCTCACCTCGTATGAAACTAGCTAATAAAAACTAGTTTGCTGGGGTGTTACTAGAGGGTAGCAGAACTGGGGAAAAGAAATACCCAAGTCACGTACATTTCAGTTACTCTGAAGTGGGAGCCAAAGCAGAGAATCACTGATCGATGCATCACGTGATCGATGCATCACGGGTCATAGGCTTATCTTGAGTCTGAGACTAAGCAGAAGCTCAGAGGATGCTCCTATCCAGCCTCCACCAATGCTGAAAAAATGAGATTAATGTGATAAGACAGTATTGGACACAAGAGAAGTCACAATTGAACACTGTGAAGACTTTAGACGCAAATAAAAATGATGGTAGCATTCATGTTTCCACATTAATATCAGAGCACACAGTAGGGATGATTCTAGGTGCTTGTCCATTTCATTTTCAGATGGAAAGCTCTATGATGCTTACGTCTTATACCCAAAAACCCAAGAAAACAAGAGCCCTGAGGTGGACACTCTGGCATTGAAGATCCTCCCTGAGGTGCTGGAGAGACAATGTGGATACAAGCTCTTTATATTTGGCAGAGATGGGATTCCTGGGCAAGGTATGCCTTCATTGAGGTACAGAATCAACAAACAAATCAGAAAGAGCCCTCTTCACTTTGCTTATGTTAAGGCACTCTCCCATAGAATCACAAGGTCCCTTTTCCAGAGGCTACCAGCCCATATCTCCTGAGCAGAAGAGATTACAATCAAAATGGAAAGCAAATGTTTAGAAATGAAAAGGAGACTGAGGCCGGCCTTTGTTCTCATGTGCTCAAAACCCACTCATGACTGTTGAATGTCGGTCTGATTATCCAATTAGTTCATATTTAATGTTGAGTTGATGGGTCGGGAACATAGTACAGAAGGCAGGAGTGCATTTTTGGCATGTACAAGATCCCGAGCGCAGCTTCCAGCACAGCACAGTTCTCAGAGCAACCCTGGATATAGCCTTGGGTTATGTAACCAACTGCTGGTCAGGACCATGCAGTACACCACAGCAGTGGGCCTAGCACTGAACAATCTGGCCTCAGGTCTCATTGGGAGAGACTTGCAGGGACCTTGGGCACTGCATGGGAGTATATATATATATATATATATATATATATATATATATATATATCTGATGCTATAAATCTCAAACCCAGCTGCTCATCTCCTGTCTTTATTTACACCTTCCAGGTAATAGGCGAGTGCCTTTGGGCAATGCGATTTATGTCTCTGAGCTTTGGTCTCTTCCCTGGCTAGACTGAGAAAATTTAGTGATATCAAACCTGAGAAAGACAGAGCTTAGCACCTGCTGGAGAATCAGTAGAGGAAAATTTCCCTCCTGTCCACATATTTGTCTTCCCTTTAATGCGAAGGAGCAGAGATTTCAACCTGGAGCAGGTCACAGGCATAAGCAGTTTGAAAATCTCTGCCTTTCACCATTGCTGGTTATTCTCTAGGGTATTATTGTATCACTATCATCCTGTTCATCCATTTACTTGAGCGGGCGCCAGTTACGTCTCCATTCCTCCCAGCCCTGAGATTTTAACAGCCTCTCCTGTCTCATCTTTCCCAACGCTGCCATATTGGAGGCTCTTTCAGGTCAGGGGAATGAGACCGATTATTGTTACTGTTTTTGGCATAGTGAATATGCCACAGGTAGCTTGCCAGACTCTGCCTTACTCTAGGGTACTTGACTGAAATCTTGTAATCTTCTTTTCCAGTCCCCAGCAAGCCAAGATTGCTAGCATTTATTTGGTGCTGGCCTTTTCTTAGTCACTTTGTTTCATGTGCTTTGGGTTGTAGGCTACTCATGTTTATAGTGAGATACAAGGCTATCTGTTTCAAGTTGTAAATTTATCATTGAAGAGGAAATGGATACTGGTCCAGAGCTTGTAATGACCATGCTAGAGACCCTAATTTCATTAGCGCATTGATACTCATTTAGTCACTTACCCAGCAAATATTTACGGAGCAATTGCTATATGCTACCTAGTGGTACAAGATCTAGACATACAAAAACAAACCCAAAAGGAGAATCTTCTCTTGAGGAATCAATGTATCCTGCTAATCATGAGGCAGTAGGAGACTGAATCATATCTGCAGAGATGGATAATTCCAGAACTCTGCCTTTCCAAAGGAATCATCAGGGTGTGTGAAAGTGATTTCTGAGTAAGTCCTAGAAATCATCATTATCTAAAAGAGATGATGCACAAGTGAGAAACACAACAAAAGAACTGGCACAGCATCTAAGCTATCTTCATTTCCTCAATCCTTTCAAATGTCATTTACTGTAAGAAACATAATCATTGTCTGATGGAACCAGACTTTCAACCATGTCCAGGAATAAAGTTGACAAAATTCTGCTTGATACGGTTGACAGTGGGTGTAGCAAAAGTTCTGTGTGTGGAGGAAAGTCATGCATGGAAAAACATGACTCATGCATGCAGAGAACCAATTTTTCAGGGAAAGTTACACAGCTTTTTCAAAGAAGAGGTGACAAATGTTCATACATACTTGAATCCATTCTTAGTGCTCCGTTCTCCTACCCTCGCTGGCATGAAGACCCAAGCTGTTTCCCATCTGAGATGTTTGCAGCCTCTCTTCTTTATTTCCAGCCGTGGCCAACGTCATCGATGAAAACATTAAACTCTGCAGGAGGCTGATCATCGTGGTCGTGGCGGAATCGCTGAGCTTGGAGCTGTTAAAGACCATGTCGGAAGAGCAGATCGCCATCTACAACGCTCTCGTCCACAACGGCATGAAGGTCATCCTCATCGAGCTGGACGAGGCCACGGACTACACGGCCTTGCCCGAGTCCATCCAGTACATCAGACGGAAGCACGGCGCCCTCCAGTGGAGCGGGGCGCTGACGCGGCAGCCGCAGTACGCCCAGAGCAAGTTCTGGAAGAAAGTGAGGTACCACATGCCGCCCAGGCGGTGTCCACCCTCGCCCCCCGTCCAGTTGCTGACTCACACGCCCTGTGACCGCACAGCGAGCTAGCTGGCAGCTAGGGCAGGCGCCCTGCTGTTTGAACGGGGGGCGGCTCACAGTTGGACATGTCTTCTGAGTTTGTTCCATCCGATCTAGAGAGTGGGTGTGTGCTTGCCAGGACCAGCACTGCTGCTTTGAGGGGGTTCCCAACCCCTGTCCAGAAGGCGTCCAGTCTCTACTGGCTCTGAAGGTGCAGGGACTCACACACGGAGCACAGAGTTCCAGGGCTCAGTAGGCCAGGGAGTTGCCCTGCAGAGGGCAGAAGTTGGTCTGGCATGTGCTGTGACCCCTGAAATGGGACCTGACTCATTAGGGCAGTGCAGAAAGAGCAGCCATGTGCTTGGGGAGGGCCAGTGGCCAGCAGGGTCACGGCACCTTCTCTTGCCTGACCACAGCTGCGGGCATAGTTTGTCAGGATAACCTGCCTCATCTAGAAGCCCTGTCATTTTTTTCCCCTTTTTGTCTTTTTGGGTCACACCTGGCGATGCACAGGGGTTACTCCTGACTCATGCACTCAGGAATTACTCCTGGCGGTGGTCTGGGGACCATATGGGATGCTGGGAATGGAACCCAGGTCAACCGCGTGCAAGGCAACTGCCCTACCCGCTGTGCTATCACTCCAGCCCCGCCCCTGTCATTTCTCAGCACAAAACACAACCGTGGCCAGAGTCTCAGAGCATCCTGCTGAAATGACAGATTTCCCAGACAGGTGACACTGTGGTGGCTCTCCACAAATCTCCTTCCCCATGGGCTCAGGCCATGAAAGAAAGATTTCTTCTGTCTCTTCTCTCTTCACTCCTTGAGGGTTCAGTGACAGGAGAGCAGCACCTGGTGGGGCCACCAGCAGGTCATAAGGTTACAATCAACAGCTGATGAGTAGTCCTTTCCATGAAACCTTTGCAGCCTGGGTAGCCTGGAAATGGATTACAATTCCTCATGGAGGATTTTCAAGTTTAAAATCTGGTTTTTGTTTCTTTTTCTGTTTGTTTGATTTTTTAGGCTACATCCATTTGTTGTCAGGGATCACTCCCGGTGGGGCTTGGGGGCTGGGGAACGAAGCTGAGTGGGCCTCATGCAAGGCAGATGCCTTACCCGCTATACTAGTGCTTCAACCTCAATAAAATCTTTTTTATGGTGAACCAAGAGAAAAATGATGATTTCTTGTGTGTTTCCTGTAGCACTATACATGCACACACAAAAATACACTCAAACACACATCCCAGAGTAAATTCAGTGAATTTGTACACTGGTGAATGCCAGTGTACAAATCCTTACAGGAGTTGGACACTGGTGACAGTACTCCCAGGGGCCATACAGAGAGGGGTGGTATTCACAGGGGTTGTACTAAGGGTGACAGTACTCACAGGGAGTTACAGTGTGTTCCAGTACTCACAGGAGTTGTATACCGTGCAACAGTGCTCACTGGAGTGTACACTGAGTGACAGTATTCACGTGGGCTGACAGTACTCTCATGGGCAGTTCAGAGGGTGGCAATGTGCACAGGTTTCCATTGAGCTACAGTAGTAGCTGGGTTGCACATTGTGTGATGGCATTCACCTGGTGTACACACTTGCTGGCAGGGCTGCCCCTTTCATCATTCTAGTAAAACTGTAGATACCTTTTAAAGGAAAATTCCCACCTAAGGACAGTTGAAAGGTCAGAAGAATTGCCCACAGCTTGATAGCCAATCTCATGCGCTGGGGGAAAAAGGTAACTGGGCTGGAGAGAGGAGCACTAAATAAATTATGGTTGGGGGGATCACTTGGGATAGTAGATGCATATTGAAAGTAGATTATGGACCAAATATGATGGCTGCTTATTACCTGTATTGCAGACCATAACATGCCAGAGAATAGAGTAAGAAGGAATGTACCTGCCATAGGAGCAGGAGGTGGGAAGGAATAGGGGTGGGGGAAGGATACTGGGAACATGATGGTGGAAAATGGGCTCTGGTGGATGGATGGGTACTTGAACATTAACTGAAATACAATCATGAACGTCTGTAACTCTGTAAATGTATCTCACAATGATTCATTAAAGGTAAAGGTAAAGGTAAAGGCCCTCCCGTTGATCGTCGATTTGCTCGAGCGGGCCCAGTAACGTCTCCATTGGAGACTTTGTTGTTACTGTGTCTGGCATATCGAATACTCTCGGTAGCTTGCCGGGCTCTCCGAGAGGGGCGGAGGAATCGAACTCGGGTTGACCATGTTGGCCGCTTATAAGGCGAACGCCCTACCCGCTGTGCTATCATTAAAATAAAAATAAAGTAAAAATATAAAAATAAAAGAAAATTCCACATACATACATTTTCCCTTTAACTTGAGAAACAGAGAGAATGTTTAAGATTATTAGTGGTCAGTAAAGAAGCCCATAGGTTGCATGATTAGAACCTGGCCCTAGAAATACTTTGGCTCATGTTTTGGAGCTGCTGTTTCAGATTTTTATGGAATCCTATGCCCAGGTCTGGTGACAGGAGCCATCCAGAATCCCCCAAAATGTCCCTTGTAAAGTGAAGCACATAGAACTTGAGTGGTTCTTTTCACATCTTCTAGCTATCCCTTCCTAACTAGCTCACCCCAGGGGATTCTGGGTATGTTGCTCCTGCTTCATTTCTTCAGCTCTTGAGCAAACTCAGCCTTCTCTGTCCACTCAAGAGTGCCAGACTTGTTTCTTTGTGCAGGATGTGGATGACTGGGAAACTCAGGCTTCAGTGGGGCATCCTCTCCACTCCCACGGGGACACTGGGGTCTGAAACCCCCTCCAGGGTTCATGACAGAGCCAGGATTGGCAGCTCTACTTCCTTAATGGGTTTCCTTTTGACATCATGGGAATCTTTTTTTTTTTGATCCTGACATCAGTTGTGATTGAAATTAAATGTAAAATACTGCAAATCACTGTAGGTGGACTTCTAGAAAAAACTCGAGCTAGGCTTTTGTGATTTCTCTGGATTTTCTCTTGACTTTGTTAGAGCTCATCACTGTTTTTTGTCTTGTTTATAACCAGCAATGAGCACTATTATATTGTTATGTTCAACATTAAATGTAGCCCATAAAGAGTACCAAATGTAAACACATTCTAAATAGCTGAGTACTCACAGATTTCCATCTCATTCTCAACTTTAGTTTTATTAAACACTTTCATCTTCAGCTTCCACTAGTTTTTTAATGAGGATGCAGTGTAGAAAAAATACAAGTAATGAACCTGACCTTGCCATTGAGATATGAAGAGATAAGCTGTGGAGAGAGGGCACAACACCCTAGAACTTCTACCCCCAGTAGGAGCCCACAGTGACTCAGAGCTTCCTGAAATAAGCTGAGTTTGACCTTTTCTGAGCTCTTGACCTTGCTACTATTTATAAACTTTCCTCCAACATATAACTGACTTTTACAAGGCAGTGTCTGGAAAATAAAAACAGTGGAATATTTTCCCCCTGGAATCCTCCTTGAAATAAGAGATGTTTCTATAGCTGACAAAGCCCCAGTGTCTGGAAGAAAGCTCTGGGGGTGGGGGCAGGGGGTAATGGGAAATGAGCTGACTGTGCCACTCTGGGTCTGAAGTGGGAGCCACTGGCATCTCAGGGAATTCTGGGCTCCTGATGGATGGACACAGAGCCTTCTGCCACTCACCTCATTCTGCCAAGACACATTTTGGAAAGGGGAAATTAGACAATGGTACTTGTTCTCCCATGTCATTATTCCTTGGAGACAATTACCACGTTCTACCATCAAAGCTCTTGTGAAGCCACATGTGTCTGATGCTTTAAATGACCAAGAAGAGGTAAGTAGAGGGAATGGAGCCAGCATTTGATTTGAACCACCAAGGAAACATCACCCACTCATCATTAGGCTGCTGTCCAGCTCCCAACACTCACCCCTGAGCAGGTGAGAACAAGCAGTCACACACACAGAACCAGTCACACACACACGTGCACACATGATTCTCTCATCTTCTCATCTTCTGTCAATGCAGTGCTACAGCTTAGGGCTAGGTTGGGATTTGAGACATTAAGTTCAGCTGGGTTATGGAGGGGAGCTGCACGGGTGAAACCTGGGTAGCCCTCATATCTCACCAGCTTCCTAAATAAAGTGAGTCATGAGCTATGGTGGGAAGAATCTCTTTTGGAAACTGCCGTCCGAATGGTCGGTCATTGTCTTTTCTGCTCCCATGTCCACAATGCAAAATCAAACTGACTGCTCAGACTGTTAGAAGGCCTTGAAAAATGTACCAGACTCAGTTTCTGAAATACAAATCACATTATTATTTGTCTAGCACCCAGGAGAAAATCACTATTTTCTTTTCAATCTGGTTAACAACAAACATCTCATTTCTACGGCAGTAAATCTGTCACATTCAGGTATTTACATCTCAGTTACACCATCCTGGCAGTGAAGTTAAGCTCTGATTATAATCATAGAAAAATGTGGGGACATATGTAATAATAACCTTCCCTTTTTCAGTACTCAGTGGATGCCTTGCTTTTCAATCTGACAGCTACTATTTTAAGTTTTTAAAAAGTCACCATGATTTACAATACTGCTAATGTTGTTTTTGTTGTTGTTGTTGGTAGTAGTAGTGGTGGTGTTTGTTTTGGGACCATACCTAGTGGTGTTCAGTGGTGACTCCTGGCTCTGCACTCAGTGATAACTCCTACTATGTTCAGGGGACAAATGGGTTGCAGGGGGATTGAATCTGGGTTGACTACATGCAAAGCAAGTGCCCTTACCTGTTGTACTATCTTCCTGGTCCTATGATACTGCTAATACTAGTGTGAACTGCATGCACTCTTATAACACCATACCCTCAAACATAGAGTATGTCTCCCTCCCCCATTGTCTAAGAGGCCCTGCCCCCTCGCCGCACCATGGTAAGCCTAGTTCTGTAGACTAGTTCTCAAGTTCAGTTGCCTTTGGCTATTTGTTATTCCCTGACTATGCTTCTTTATGCCCCATCAGGTCATCCTTTATCTGTCCCTCTGCTGACTAAATTCACTCAGTGTTATACTATCCAGA